CATATAAATTATAAAATTGGGTTAATTTTGCACTGACAAATTTACCTTCTTACCAAATAGATTTTTAGCTGTAATGGATGCAAACATGAATTCCAATAAAGCATATGTTTTTTTTTTATTTTTTTTATTTTTTTTTATCAATAGTCCACTTGAATGCAAATTTACTTATTTTTTATTGACATACTTTTACATCTTATTATCAATGTAAATATGCATTGGTCTGTCATTTGTCAATGCATAAATATGTAATGTTGCCAAACACAGGCAAAAGTGAACCAGAGTGCAAATTTACCTGAACCTAGATTTACACTCCATTTGCATCATTTCTAAACGCAGCCTAAAGTGTGTGTTTCGACGTATTTTATCAGTCTCCTAAAATATGTACAATACAAATATATACAAAATAATATAAAATGCAAGGTTTTGTACTCCTTCCAAACTGAGCCTAACTGAAAAACAACTAATAAAATAAAAATAAAAAAAGTCTAAAAGAGTGAACTGAAAATTTATAATGATGCCTTAATTAACATTTTTTTAGCAATGTACCTTGATTATTGCTAGTGTTGAGAAGATATATATGGGAATCACAAGCAATGCGTATCGGGCTGTTGGTAGGTTGATTAGTAATGGATTCGCATACATCCAATGGTCCCAGTACTTTCTTTTGATCCCTCAGTAATTGTCCTAATATATATATGAATCTCCTAGTTTTATTATGGTTTGGTCGAAATCACATTAGTTATTTGGCAAAAGTTTGAATAATGTATTTTGGTATCATTTATATGACATAAATCCCCAATTACCAAAAAAAAAAAAAAAACGAACCAAGGTTGGGTAGCAGTCGGAAACAAGAAGAAGACTTGTAAGTTCAATGCAAGGTTTTTAAAATTGACCCGGACAACGAACTGGTCAGGGGTCTGGTTCTCGGGTCAAACGGTCTGACTGTTTGAACCAGATGGTCGGCCCATTCTGACAAAAAAGTTAAAAAAATGGTTAAAACAGTTGAATGGTTCGAATGGTTCAACTACTCGGGTCAATGATTTGCTAACCAAATCAATGTTTTTGGCAAAAATCTGATTTTGGGGAAAAACAGAACCGATCACCTAACTAATTCCCAATTTTTCCAGTCTAGTCTAATTTTGAAAACCATGATTCAATGTGAAACAGGAGACTTTTCCTCTTGCAACACAAGCAGCATCATTCCATAGGAGGTCTTCAAGAATAAATGAAGGTTTCAAAACTTGGTATAATTAATATAGTCTATTTTAGACATTCTTTTCATTTGTTGCTCTAGTGTATTCTTTTAGGGGTCAGGTTATATCCCTTCTTAGAAATTATTGCTAATTCTCAAGAAATCATTCAACTTAAAAGATTAAACTGTTAGGTGAAGTTCTTGAATAAGATTTTATTCTTTAATATAATCTCCTTTTCCCTGTCCCTACATGTACAAGACTCCACTTTATGCGCAGTAATAGAATAGTTCAATATATAGTACATTCAATATTTGATATATGTTAAATCAAGTTTTCAACCAATCACATCATATGATATACTTTACTTTTCATTTGTTCATATTTCATAAAATGTACTTTTACATTTCACAAGATGCATACTTACCATCAAGACTTTAAACAATTAATGTTAAAGATATCAGTTTTTTTTTTCTTTTTGTAGTTAAAGATATCAATTGTGAGTATCATTTTAACACTAGGTCATGTTTATTGCTGCATGATGCAGCTAGTGCACTATACATTTTGTCATATATAACAGAAAATGTTTTCATTCTTAACTAAAAAGGTTTTGAATTGGAATCAAAATCCCTTGGAATTGGAATCGGAATTGCCTATTCCCTATCCTACTTGGTTTAGATGGGACTTAGAATCCATAAGATATGCACAATTCCTAAGGAGAGTTGGCATCAAATAAAGAGAAATAGGGCTTGGCAGGGGGGTATTTAAGACACTTATCCTATTGGAATGAAATTCTCATTCCCAAGGAAAGAGGCTGGAATAGTCATTCCCTTAAATGGAGGTATGCCATTCCACCAAGAATGGAAATCAAAATCCCATTCCCCTCAACCAAACATTTGAATTTTGATTCCGATTTAAACTCTTATTCTCATAAACCAAATAGATCCTTAGATCATTGGTATTTATCTATACTATATATAAAAGTGTGGATGTAGAGTGAAAGTTTTTTTGAACTAAAATTATCCTCTACTTCTTTGTTTGAGAAATAGTATAAAAGTCATTTTATTACAATTTTAATGGCTATTAAAATGCCCATCTTCAATTATTGCTTTCTACCTCATTTAAACCCCTCTCATTAAGTCTTACACTTAAGGCATTAAATCCTATTTTCTCTTATTAAATCTTATATGTAATTTATTTTTTACTAATAAATGTTACTAATTAGATTTATGTCAATATTTTTAATAATATAAATTCATATCATTTAAAATAACTCAAAAACAAAACTATTATTTATCCAAGTGGTGGCTAGGGAATTCAACCATCCGAATCAAATTGATCAACCTACGAAGTCTTAGTTAGGTAATAAAAATTTTAAAATAGAAATAAATATAAAAAATTGGTAGCATTTATTTTTTTAAATTCTAGATGATCATAATGTGTCCAAAATTTTCAATGGTGTTTCCAATTTAGTTACTATCATTATTTAATTATTTTTAATTTGATTAATAAAAATATCATAAATGTGTCTAATTTAATTATCACTATTATTATTATCATGTAAAATTTACATGTGCAAAATGTATCCAAAATTTGGGCAAATTTCTTAAACTACCTTTACTGTTTTGCTAATTGACTAACCCTACCGGTACAATTAACTATTGTCCTATAGTACCTCTAGGGTTTTTAACAATTGACTAACTCTACCCTTGCCTTCCATTAAAATCCGTACACATGTGGCACCACTCAATTTATAAGTTTTTTTTTTTTAAATACAATATTACCCTCCGTCCCTCTTCTGTAAGCCAAATAAGAATCACCACACGTGAGTTTTCTACATTCCTCTCGGAACCTAGAGTTTCTGTTTTTTATTAAATGAGGGTAAGAATCACCCTCCGTCCCTCTTGGAATCGATCCATGCTGCAAGGGAAGATGGAGGGGAAGTGAGAGGGGTTCGATCTCTGCCAGTTTTGTCTGGGCCTACTACAGCGGCAGAAACGGTGTTCGGCGCGCAATTGGAAGAGTTGCCGGTGCACAATGTCTCTTATTTTCACACTCGGTACCGAGTCCGAGAATGAAGGTCCGCACATCTCTTCGTTACCATTGATCGTGGGTTGATACCTGCAGGACAGCTTAGCTCCGTCAATGACTTCATCACATTTGCAACCATCCCCGACCTCTTCAATCTTGATTCCAATTTGAGTGGGTCCATGGAACAAGACGCACTGCCTTTTTTTAGGAAGAGCTGATTAGCTGCAGACAAAAACATATACACCTGGCTGAACTAAGTATCACGGAATGGAACCCTCACACAAGGGCGCCTCAAAGGCACATCCACCGTGCATTAGGAACATCTCCCATGAAATATAATTTATAAGTAAGGGAGATGTTTCTAATGCATGGTAGGATATGCATCTGAGGTCGGTGTGAGGCGTCCTGTGTGAGGAGCAGATCCGGTCTCTCACAGAACAAATCCGGTCTCTCCCATGAACTATAATTTATAAAAAATTAGTATATATTTTTTTTTTCAATTCTGGATGATAATAATATATCCAATTTAATTACTATCATAATTTAATTATTTTTGAATTTGATTAATAAAAATATCATAAATACGTCTAATTTAATTATTACTATTATTATTATAATGTAAAACTACCACATACAAAACACCTACATACTTAATAATTAGTATAAATAGTTCCATATAGAATTATGAGCAACTCACATTCTATGGACCCTTGGGCCTTCCTTATAAATGGACCATCCACTCATAATGTCATTTAGGGTCGCAAAACAGAGCTGGACGCCAGTTCACATCCATCTATACCCTTCGATCCTTTTTCTCCCCTTCCGCTCTCATCTAAACCCTAACCAATGACTAATTACTGGGCTTAAAACCAACAACCTTCAACCGAGTAGGGTACATCTTTTTCTTTCCCTCATTTTTTTTTGCATCTTCCACCTTCTCCGAAGAAAATCTTTTTATGGTCCACTTCACCTCAGACTTCATTTATTAATTCTCCAAATGTTTTTATCCCTACTCATCCCCTTTATAGCATCCTGGTGAATTAAAAATATGTTCCCCGCTTGACACTAATTACCCGAATTGTAGACGACTGCATTATGAAGTGTTGAGGTGGACTGAACTCAAATTACCTACCAAAAAATAAAAGAATTAAGTGCTGTTTAGGGAGGTGTTAGTCCCAGGACCGGAGGCGAAGGGTCCGTAGAATGTATATGAGTGATACAATGAGTTCGATTTTGCCACTTTAGAGCGCAGGGTAAAATAGAGACCCAGGGCCTTTATTGTATAGCTGTGGCCCCACCATGCATAACGATCACTTCATCTAATTCAAGGTCCACAGCAATCAGCAATACATGTAAAGCCTTGATTTCGTTGTTTTATGCAATGCTAAAACAACATATTACAATAAAGAAACAAGAGATAAGCTTATATATACATAAAATTATTTAAAAAACATATAGAGATCAGATATGTGTTGACGCAAAATACAATGCACAATTGCTTATTGACATTTCAAATACACAGGCAGCATTTGTTGCCACATAATCCGACTGAACAAATCAACCCGACATTTCAAATACACATGTAAAGCCTTTTACCCCATTTGCCATTTCAGTTCAAATCAACCCTACTAATTAAGCAAATATATTTTTTACAGGTTAAAACCAAATCACCACCTACACTTACATGACTTTACTATAAACTTCTAACATTTAAAAATATATATATATATATATATATATATATATATATATATATATATATATTGCTTTGTATAAAGCAAATAATAAAGGTTATGGATCTATGGAAGAAGATGAAGAAGCCTAGGCTCGAAAGTAACCAACAACCCATTCTTCATGTAAAGCGTGGTGGTTAATTTTGGAACAATTGTCTGGCCTTCAACCACCTTAACCGAGAACCTGAGCAGGATTGAAGCTGCCACCATTTTCATCTGCATGTAAGCAAACTTCTTTCCCACACACAGTCGGGGTCCGGCATTAAACACCGCATACTTGAACTGGTTCTCGCTCACCAGCTCCCCGTTTTTCATCCACCTTTCCGGCTTAAACTCCTTGCAGTCCTTCCCCCATATGTCCTCCATTCGACCCATCGAGTAGATGAGGTAGAACACCCGAGCACCCTTCTTCACAAAGGCTCCATCCGGAAAAACGTCGTCTTCTTGAACCTCCTTGAAGTCCATCGGCACCGACGGGTACAGCCTGAGCGATTCCGATAGCGCTGCTTGAAGATACACCATCTTTTTTAGCTCGTCGATGGAGAAAATTACGTCCTCGTCTTTCTCCTTCTTGGACTTCCTTTGCCCGACGATCTCTTTTATCTCGTCGATGATGCGTTCTTCGACTCGTGGGTGTTTGTGCAACAGCCAGAAGAACCACGTCAGTGCCACTGAGCTTGTATCTCGCCCTGCTAGGATAAAACTTATGCAGAAATCCTCAAGAAACTTGTCCGAGAATTTCTTCTTGCCCTTTTGTTCAGGATCTTCGACTTCGATGAGTCTGGACAATAGATCAGAACGATCGTTTAAGCTGCCGAGCTTGCTGAGTTCTACCCTCCGACCGGTCACCGTCTTCTCCCCGAACTTGTGAACTATTTGAACGGCCTCCTTGAGTTTCTTCTCCGAGCCTATTCCCAACAGCTTCATGAACTTCCATACGAAAGGAGGGACTATAAACCTGAACAGAGTGGACTCGGTGGCAAGCTCGAAAGCTTTTGCAAAAGGGACCTCGGGAAGGTCGATGGCCAAGCAATCCGGGTCGACCCCGAATGCGGCGGTGCAGATATTGTCGAATGTGAATCGGAGAAACACGTCCTGGACATCCACTCTGTCGCCGGATACCGCAAGCTTGTTTAACAATTTCAATAGCTTTTGGTGCACCAAGTCCTGTATGGTTCGGAGAGAGTACTGGACGAAGCGGCTCGAGTGCATCTCCGACGTCGCGGCCCGTCTTTGCTCCTTCCAAAGTTCATCGTCGGCGTTAAAGATGCCGTCACCGAGCAAATCAGAGAACCTCTCGCGGTAGTACTTCCCTTTAGGGAAGTTCCTAAACCTTGTCTTGAGCATGTACTCGATGTTAGAAGGATTAACGGTCACGATCCCATGCGCACCGCCCATCCACATTCCTCTGAAGTGAAACGTGCCACCACATTTGATCAGAGTTTGGGTACCCCAGTCATAGAGTTGGTTGATGTGGAAGAACAAGGTGGGAATAATGCCCAGAACTGGCCATAACATTGGACCCTTGTTGGTGAGTCTCCGAGCCAAAGCCGTGAAGATGAATAAACCCAAAAGTGCCACGGCTACATCAGAAACCCTTACTTGAGCAAACAGCCATTTTGTTGTTAGCTGACCCTGAGACAGAACAAACTTTCCTGTTCCTGATGATCCCATCTCTCTTCTTTAATTACTCTGCAGGTAGGTACCGTAGCTAGGGATGGAACTTGGAAGAATGAAGGAGTGTAAGTAGATGATGATGATGATGATGATGATGGACTGCAAATTTCTCAATTTATAGTAATCGTGTGCAAGTATTAGATCGAGTAGAGAATAGAGAATCTGGAGCTTGAGCTTCTTCATTGACTTGATTTATGTTGTATTAACTCTGAGTGGGCACCTACGGCCCTACACAATTACATTACATGTTGTTAGAGAGCGTTCCGCCATTAATTGTTCGATGTCTCAACCACCTCCAACAGTGAAAGTGTGAAATAAGAACAAGGAATCGAGATTCGAGAGAAAGTTATGAGTGGAATCCAGTATAACTAAATATGTTCACTTTTAATCGCCAAGTAATTAAATAAATTTAAGAGTACTGTTTACTCGCGACTCCGGAACATGGGTTTTGAAAGAAGTATAAGAGATTGCGCCAGTTAATTAATTGCCACCAACTGACGACTTGAAAGTTGAAAAAAAATAAAAGGGAGAATGACGGTTAATTACCACACCCTAAAAATTCTTAGCCACACGGAGTCGGACGAGCGCTGACGCTGAGAGGTGAAAGCAGGGCAACCAGAACGAGCCGTGCATGGGGTCGCATTGCATGAATTTAAAACATACCAAGTACCGAAGGGAAGAAGACATATTCCCTATGTATGTACTACTATGCACACCAATTTTGGTTTCGGGAAATGGGAGACGGGTTTATTGGGTGGTTGGGCTTTGGAAGTTGATCGGTCTGTGTCGACCGTTGGATCAATCTTCTTATTAACAGAATGCCCATCCCAGGACTCTTGTAAAGCCCATGTATGCACGTATGAAAGAAAGATTGAAAGGTTTTGAACCCACACCCAATGAAAGCCAACCTTGGTTGATGAGGGTATATATATATATTCTCATATTCTGTTGGGTGGTCCTACACTCCTAATCCTGCTTAAGTGCTTCACATCAATACGCCTCATTTACTGAAACGCCGTTTATCACATGTACCTCCTATTTTGTCAGAATTCCAATTTTGCCCCTGTTCATGGCCCGGGCAGTGTTCGGGCTTGGACTTGGGCCTAAACATTTTCTATTCACCACATAGAGAGCGAAACAACAAACAACAGATGTGAAACGTCTCGCTAAATTCTATCATGAGATTTTAGGGTTTGAGGTGACCTAAAGCCGCCCTAAATTTAAAGAAACTGAGGTGATATTTCCTCTTTGCATCTCATTGAGGGGAACCCCAAAGTGAAAAGCTTTTGGAAGGACGATGAAGCTCTACTATGACATCTCGTTTTTTGGGGTTCAACTACGATATGAAAAGCTACGTTTACAGCAATTATTGGATTTACTTTAATAACCGGTAACTAATCATTTTATAGTAAAATTAAAATTTAAAATATCCAAAAAAAAATAAAAGTGATGTTAGAAATAAAGGAAAATGTAAAATGGAGCTCACACCCAAATACGAAAGACGAACTCAGCAAGAAAAAAAAGGAAATTAGAGTGTATGGGTCGACTATTGCCTTCGGTGCTCAGAACTGTAACGACGGGGGATTGAGATGACTGAAGTGTCTAACCATCCCGTTACTATTATATGTGATGTTCAACTCTGCTTGAATGCGAATTAGGTGCAGACAAGGTATCGGTTTCGGTCAAAGTTTAAAGTATCAGAAATGCTATGCATATCGGAAAGGTAAATTTAAGAGACGTATCACGATACGTCTTGAATACATATGGATATGGACGAAAAATTAAAATACGCATGAAAATACATAGAAATGCTATAAAATACTCTAATAAATCATAAATAAACATCAATATCACTAAATATAAGACTTAAATGAGCTATTTATACATAAAAATCACGTGTTTTAATGGATTTTTATAAAAAAAAAACATATTATAATCAACAAATGGGAATAAAAACATACTATCTAATAAAATACTTAATTCAGTTTCAATCTTCCAAGTTCCAACTTCAAATTTTAAATCTATTATAATTTACAAATTCAACATTTGAATCCCATTATGTTGTTTAAAAGTTAAAACTTTACATGAAGTCATGAATCACATAAAAGTTCAATTATTATATAAATTATCCAATTTTAAGTGTTAATGTACTAGTAAATTAATTTTCAATTGTTACTATGAAAATTTTTATTTTTTTTAAATATTGTTTCAATTATTATCTAATACAAATATCCAATTAAACAAATAATAACTGTTTTCATATTTTTGAGGCCACAATTATATTCACATTCAAATTATAGATTATCATGTGAAATATATCAATGCCTTTTATTTTGTATTTTTTAAATATTTTTAAATATTACTAAAAAATATTTTTAATTGTTTTAAACATTTTTCCAAGTGTTATATAATCCATTTAAACAATTAACAATCATTGAATCAAATAATTATATAAAATTTGTAATTATTGAATCAAACATTTTTCTGTATTTTTTAAATGATTATTTATTTTTACTCAAATAATTATTTTGCATGTTTTATTCTAAAAATTAAACAAATATTTTTTTGAATGGCTTCATGGACATCTATTATTTTTATTCTAAAATTAATAATTATTTTACATGTTTTATTCTAAAAAATAAATAATTATTTATTTTTATTCAAATAACTATTTTATGTTTTATTCTAAAAATTAAATTAGATTAAAAAAAAAGTAAATATGTAACAGAAAATTTGAATGAATTTATGGATATAATAGATGAAATATTTATTTTTCATATTTCATTCTAAAAACTAAATAATTATTTATTTTTATCTCAATAATTATTTTGCATATTTTATTCTAAAAATTAAACTAAAATTTAAAAAGTAAATATGTAACAAAAAAATTGAATGGTTTTATGAACATAATAGATCATCCATATATTTATTGTAAATATTTATTATTAGAATTTTATCATAGCAAAAAATTAGAGAAATAAATAAATATTTATAATCTAAAAATAAAAAAAAAAAACAAATTAAAATTTTCATATGATATTTCAATATATTGATGTTATTCTTAGCTCTACAACATACTCAACCTATAGGGTTAGATCACAAAAAAATTGAAGAAATTTTCTATATATTATATATTATTTTAAAAATAAAAAAAAATAAAAAAAAATCAATTATTTAGAAGAAATGTAAATTGATCTATGGTCATGATAGATCATCCATAGATCTACAACATAATCAATATTTAGAGGTAGATCACAAAGAAAACCTAAAATTTTCATTTCTTTCAGATTTTTAATATGCTAGAAAATTTTCAAATATTCACAAAGATTTACATATAGGAGCAAAATAAATGAGATTTTTTGCACAAGAATAACATATCAACATACACAAAGATGTTTCTAAGCATCCAAACTAAAAAACACAAAACATTGGCTGAGATTGTAAAAGAATTGAAAAAACATACATATTTTCGCTAATTTTTTAACAATTTTGAAAAACTTGTTGGATTTTTGAAAATTGTGGATGTTTTGGTGGGTTTTGGCTAGATTTCAATCTCCAAGAATGATATGAAGGTTTTTAAAGGGTTTTGGGAAGAAAGACAAAAACCTTTAAAGGGTTTTTAAAGGTTTTCAATCTCCAAGAATGGTATGTTGGTTTTCCGCAACAGTAAAATTGCAATGTATCGGCTGATACGCAACTAATACAGCACGGAAATAGGCCGATACTCACCAAAATGTTATCGATACGGACACGATACATTTTCGGAATGGCGAAAAGGAACTGATGGTGCGCAATCCAGCCGGTCCTAGCTGTCAACGACCTTGCCTCTGAACGGAACTACAGGGAACCTAAAATGGAGAAGATGAGGAAGCTCCGGGGGGAACCCGGTGTGATTGCTCCGAAGCTCAAGTTAGAACTCTCTCAAAGGCAAGACAAAACCAGATGGCGCAAAGTTTACATACCTTCCTCGGGGGGTAGAGAGCCTTTTTATAACCACCTCGCGCACTCACTCCGAGGCCTCTATCAGGTCGGGTATGTTACTTCTGTGCTTCTGCCAGTTCGGGTGTCATTACCTCTGCTGGGACAAAACCGCCACTGCTCCTTGTCGGAGCCGTCTCTGTAACTGGAGATGGCGGTGGCAGGTGGCCGTTGGAATGCGGCTGTCAAGCGTCAGATCCCAAGTCAGTCAGTCAGGTGCGCCGCCCCTGGATACGGACTCCTTCGGTGTCAGGTACGGTTCATTCAGTTCGGTGTTCCGGGGACGAAGTGCTGGAGTGGTGTGCGAGGTTGTCTTGAATTCAGATAGAAGTGTGGCCCGAACTGCCGTGGGGCAGGCCAATTCGGGTTGTTACCCTTTGTGTTCGTAAGGCTCGGGGCCTAAGGGAGAGCTCAGGCTCCTTACTAGGAGTTCGGGCTCCTTGCGAGGAGTTCAGACCACTGGTTCCTCCTCTCGGAGCTCGCGCCTTGGTGAGCTGTTTTGCCGAACTGTTGCCTTTGCCACGTGTTGAGTGGTTACGAGGTCGGGCCAAATCTTCCTTCATCAGGAATGGTATTAAAGATTTGGTACCGTTCCCCGTGCTGGAACCTCAAAGATACGATACATATCGGCCCATACGTAACGAAATTTTGAACCTTGGTTCTGGTACAAGTCCAATACACGGAACGCATAGAAATTATTTGTAGCATTTCTTGTCGTATGTATCGGTCTGTATCGGCCGATTCCGAAATATAGCATGATACAAGTCCCCTTCTCTCATTAATTTCATTAAATTATATTTAAGGCCGAACTACCTCTCATTAATTTTATACTTACTCTTATTTTTAAATAAATTTCTCTCTCATTGATTAGTTAATTATTCCTATAATTAATGCATAATTTTAAATTTAGCGCCTAATTGGAATTCTCTTCTCATTAATTTCGTTAATTAATAACCCTCTTTCTCATTAAATTCGTTTTGTTAGTATAAAACTACAAATTAGCAATAAAAAGATTCGAACCCTAGCCACTAAACTTTAAGAACTAAAGGTACACCAATCATCACTAAGCCACGCCCACTTACTTGTTATAAGTTTATGCA